AGGTCCGTTGAGGGATCACTCAAGTGCAGTGCCTTGCCTCGCATCCTGCATCGTGACGACGATGAGAAGTAGGATAACACAGGTAGCCTGGTAATGATGACAAAATTTAAGTTGGCAACACAATCCCTAAGCCCCAGAGGAAGGTAAAGAGTCTGTAGCCGAGAAGAAAGACCAGTCCTGAAACCCATCTGCGTGCAATGGTAACAAGACCTGCAGAGTGCAAAGGCTATCCAGCACTGGGAGAGCATAAAGAAGAGGGCATGCCAATCCCAGTGCAATGTGAAAATAACTTGGGGTGCAATGGCCATGCCCAGAAATCACTGTTTAAGATGTGCAAGCCAGATTTGTGGAGAAATGCCATTTTCTAAGGCCGCAAGAGCCTGTACAATCATAGCTTTCTCTTGCGCATGGCGAGCTTTAAGGCGACAGAGAAGCCACAAACAAAGTACAACACCGAAGCAACACATTGCCCCAAAAATGCCTACCCCCACCCACTCTTTGAAGAAGGAAAAAGCAGAAGATATCCAATCGGTGAATCGACCCAAAGTCACGGGATCGACACGGGTACTGTTCAAAACAGCTATCTGGGTTAGTTGAGACTGGATCATGTCTTCCGCTGCCATGGACCAATTTCCGGCCAAATATTCGCCAATGATGCGGGAGGCATTCCTGGAATCATTAAATCTGACAGAGGTTATGCATAAATGTGCACGTTGGTCGACACAACCCAAATGTACTAGATCAGACAACTCCTCAACTTGAGCTTGAAGCAGATCTATCCTTTGATTAGCAGACAAAATCCCAGATAAAATGTGTTGATTAATTTTACTTTGGGATTCAAGTACGGTGGATGTTTGTTGAATAACCTGATTAATAGTGGCAGCAGTTTGTACTTGGCTGGCCATGGCTACTCCAGCTGTAGCTGCTGCAGCAGCAGATACCGCCACAGCTGTCACTATAGCTGCCGTAATTCCAAAATCTCTACGGGTTCTAATCAATTCAACAATAGGAAAGGATTCTGGATCTGCAGTAACCGGGATCGGGACAAAGGTTGGAATTTTCATAATCACTGCCATAGTCCAGGAGCCATTCCAACACTCAGACAAGTAGCAAGTAACATTAGAACAATTAAGCATCCCCTGTAATGTAACATTAGCCAAAAGAAACAGGAACGGAGATTGGAGACAGACTGCTGCGGAGGGTAATGTAGCATTAGATAATTGTGAATTATTTGCAAAAATTTTAAGCCTCCTACCTCGCTCCGAGTCTTGGGTACTGCCAGAAACATTAAACAGCCAACTTTGGACTCCTAATATTTCCCTGGGGAAACACAAGCGCGGACTAGACTAGCCCAATCTGAGGGAGTCATACAAAATCTAGTAAGTCCCTCCACCTGAGTGAGAGTGAAAGCGGCATCTATGCCATAAGTGCGGACGGACTCTGCCAAGGTTTTAACTATCTTAAAGTCTAAAGGCTCATGATATCTTCCTCTATTATTGTCCTGAAACACCGGGTAGGCAAGTCCCATATCGGTATTAACTGTCCTCCAAACTTGTGCATGAAAAGATCTCCCGGAACCTTGGCTCCCCCCCACATACGGGGGTGGGGCAACAGGCATCATATCTTCTTCTAAATTTTCAACCTCCTCCTCCTCAGAATTCTGTTGACCAATATTAGATCCCTCCCCCTTCTTACAGTAGGCATGCGCGCCTTGTGTCTCCTTTTTCTTCTTTTTCATTTTTATCTTATGTAGTTGTTGTAACAATATATCAAGGTCCTCAGAACTCTCTGAGTCGCTTGTGTTCTCAGGCGTTTTGAATTCGGTCAAGTCTGGATAGAGCCTTCTCCTATTTTTATCTTCAGGCTCTTTTGCCTTCTCACTACTGTTACTTTTGATACTCTCTGCCACTTCACTATGTGATCCTTCAGATTTTTCCTCATGTAGTTGTTCAAGAACGGCCTGACCCTCACTCACAGCTTCTTGGCATTTACCATCTGTAAGGCAACTACGGACCATTTTCCAAAGGGGTATCACCCCACCCTCTAATATGCCCTGCTCAGAAGCAAAGTCAAGATCTTTGCCTAATTTATCCCAACTAGGTACAGTAAGGCTGCCCGAAAATGCAAACCACGGTGCAGCGATATCTATCTTCTGTAAAAATCTCTGTAAAGTACTATGTTTCACTTCCAGACCCTTGGAACGCAACAGGCCATCTAGGGCCAGGAGAAGCGGACTTGAAGATGCGGCACCCATGACACAACAACAAAGGAAGCACAAAAAACAAAAGCGAAAGTACACAGTGCAGCTGCAATAAAATGTAATGCTCTCTCTTTCTTTACAGAGGAGCTGCCCCGCTTTGGTCGCGGGTCCCACTTACCTGGGACTAACCCCGCTTTGGTCGCGGATCCCACTTACCTGGGACTAACCGGTGCACCACCCCTGACTGCTGAAAGTTCTGGTTCCCGGGTCTCGGCACCACTTGTCGCGACCCCTTGCCCGCAAGGAAGACGCAACTCAGGAATCTTCTTTCAGCAGTTTATTCAGGCCCTTGATATTTCTTCTTCTCCCTCTTGGATGCCCCTCCCAGCCTTAATAAAGCATCTCAAGCCCCAATGCAAAGCTGCCACGTGGAGCTTTCTCATAGGGTGATAAGGGATTACGTGCCAACTCTCCAAAAAAGGAGTTGTTTATCACAGGCCACAGTGGAAGCCGGCGCCATCTTCTAATGGCGGCCACGGTTTTTATTTATTTTTTTCTCCACTTGTATACAGGCCTATATACAAATGTCTGAATAAAACCCACAAAAAAGGAATAATAAACCAGGAAAGGCAAGAAGAATTAGGAGAAATTACCTTCTAGTTTATTTATTTATTTTTAATTTTCTTCATTGATATGAGAACAATCACTTGGTCACCTGGAGTAATCAGGTAGTTAGCAGGGAATCCATTCTTGACAAGTCAGTGAAGATTCAATCCTGACTTGCACTGTGTTGTCTGGGGCTGTCTGACTGAGTAGGAGACACTCTCATTAACATCTCCACTCTGACCCATCTGAATCCAGTCAATGTCATGATGCCAAGTCTCATAACTCAACTCAGCTTGTAAGAATTCCCTCATAAAAATTTAAAGATGCCATTTTGCAGGTCAAAAATTCAAATATCAGCAATTTTAAAACTAGATCATTAATATCTTTCCTTTTCATGAAATAACAGTAATTGACATTTTTGTAAGTATTATTTTGTCCAGTGGCTTTGTTATAGTTTTAAATGGATATAAAGGCCTATTGACCTAGAATTATTCTTCATATACTAAGAAAGCATATTATTTTGTAAATGGTTCTATAAATAATTGTTAATCAATAATTACATCTACAAATAAAAAATTACTTAATTTACTAAAATTTTAGAGTGCTTATTGGGGAGTTTATGTAAGAATAATATTTTTAGACATTTATTTATTATTTGAAATACAGATACTCATATGCAGCCAATGTTAAGTATAGTTTTCTGAGTGATATTATTGAATATTGTTGGTTAGGATTTATATAAAAAAATACTGCTAGATTAAATTTAAATACAAATCACCGAGCAGATGTAAACTATCATCTGAAGAAACAGTGGACTGATATTGGGAAATCTCACCATTTGGTGGCATATCAAAAAAAAAATTATACTTCTTAAAATGATTTTAAAATTACAGAATAATTCTGTATTTGGGGACTCTGAAGTGGGCAGATCCACACCTGAAGTAAAAGTATCTTTTACTTCATTTTACAAAATATCTTTCAGTATTCATAATAATGTTAGGAGGCACAACAAATAAGAATTTATTACTATCCTTTTGAAAGTGTTTTTTGATAATATCTAAGGAATATTTTTTTTCTTTTTTATTATTTTATTTTATTTATTTATTCTAAATAGATATATATGACAGCAGAATGCAGTTGATTCATCATACACAATTGCAACACAACTTTTCATTTCTCTGGTTGTACAAAATGTAGTATCCCACCTTATGTGCAGGCATTAAAATACCTAAGGTGATGATGTCTATCTCATTCCACCATCTTTCCTGCACCCATGCCCCCTTTCCATGCCTCTGTCCTGTTTTCCCAAAGTTCCCCTATTTTCCCCATGGACTCCCCACATTATGGATCAGCATCCACTTATCAGAAAAAAACATTTGACATTTGGTTTTGGGGATTGGCTTACTTCACTTAGCATGGTATTCTCCAACTTCATCCAATTACCTGCAAATGCCATAATTTTATTCTCTTTTAATGCTGAGTAATATTCCATTGTATGCATATATCTATTTCTTTATCCATTCATTCTTTTTTTAACAAGTATGCAGATGTTATTTATATGGTCCATAAGTATAATATAATCATTATTTGAGTTTTACAAAACATCAAATATAAATAACCCGAAATTGTAATAATACACAAAAATTCTTTTCTTACACAGACATACCAGGCAGTACAAACTGAAAATCTGAGTAAATTAACATTGTTTTACATTAATATACATAGTGCCAATTAACATTTAAAAACAAGTTTCAATGCATAGCACTTGATATTTCTTTGAATCTGTTTCAGTCGGTTAAGAATATGAAAATGGTTAGATCTAGGCTAAAAATAATTCTTCTTCTAGCCAAAAATAAAGATATAATATTTATAACCAGATATCAACTTTACTAAACCACAATATTTTTGAACTATTAAATGATACCTAAGGGTATTTACATTAAAAAGGCCACATGCATTGTGATGTTTCATCTCATGACTGGTTATGCACATACTTTATTCAAAGGGTTTTAAAACTATACTCCTACTTTCAATACAGCATACGCCAATGTTCTAATAGTTCTAGCAAAATGAATACTTTCAAAGGGAGCAGAATCATTTTCAAGTCACCGTTACCATTATTTTCCTTTTGGAACAAAGGACTTAACAAATCTGGTTCTACCCAGATGAACTAACATAGTAAGAGGGTTTCTGCTCAATCTAATGCTATAACATCATCAAGCTCTTCTATCTGCTCTGTACATGACCTCTTTGCAGTGACATTCTCCTTCTCGTCTAATTTCCTCTTGTGACTTCTTATTTCTTCACTGACATCAGCATTATTTGAAGGACCTTCTTCATCTGAATCAACTATGAGTACATCATCTTGCTCTTGTGTAGTAGAGGTGGAAGGCTGGGCTCCATCATCACTGCCATTGGTAATGCTTTTGGCAGCATCTTTACTTTGTTTGGGCCCCACTTTTTCTGGGCCATCATCAACAACTTCAAATTCAACATCCTTTTCTAGGTCTTCACTATGAAGGATGATGATCAATAAAGTGTAGTCCTGAAGGAAATCATCTGCTTGCAGCCGGCTGCCATTTCTAATTCCAAATTCTGACAACTTCTTATGATTATTAGCTTCTGTCTCTCCCTCTTCTGAAGATATTAGGATTGTTCCTTTCCCATCTTCAATTTGGACATCTGGTGCTACAATAGCAAATTTTTCTTTCACTATCTTATCTTGTAAGGTGAAAAGAGTCAATTTGTGGACATTCAGTCATAAATTCACCCCTGGCTTGCTGGCACACACATAACAATTGGGGTTGGAGGATCCAGTGCACAAGGCACAAGCAACTTCTTTCTTGGGTTTGGTTGTTTATTCAAAAAAATGTTCTACACTGGTCTATTTTTCCTGATAAAATCTTCAGTCCTTCCAATACTATCAACCCAGCAATCACTGCATTAGTAGTAGCAATAGCAGGAATAATGTTCCCTGCCATTGATTTTACATCAAACCTGCTCTTCATATTCATACTGAAAATATGCATCCTGAGATTTGCAGCAGAAGTGATAAAATCCATTGCAGATGGGTCATCCTTATCCCATATGAGCTCAGCTCCATCTCCTTTTTCTGCTAAATGAACTCTCAAAAGTATCAATGCACTTTGAAAAAAGAGTTGCATAGCTCTTTACATCTAGAACTTGCTGGTCTTTCAGACCCAGCTGAGGTTCATTTTGTTGATCTGATGGATTAGATTCTTCTCCTTGACTCTGTACTTCAGCCCAGTCCAATGGAACAGGAGGTTTCCTTTTCCACCATAGTTGATCCACTACAAATAGATACCTGATATCATCTTTAAAAAGCTTGATAAAAGTTTAACTGGATCATATCTAGTTGATTTTGCGCATTCCTTTGTGGAAATACGTTTTATGTCATCATCTTCATTAGATGCTCGAGCTCTGGCTTCAGCTTCTGTTGGTTCCCATGCAGCTTCAGGGTCAGCTCTGTCAGGTGAAACTTCCTGATCAGCATCTTCTTCCCCAAACAATGGGTTGAACAAATATTTTGCCCAAACAATGTGACGCAATGAATAGGTTCTGAAGGTGTGTTATGAATCCTACAGCCAGGAAAAGTTCTCTGGGTTGGCTTAGGATGACATTCATAACACTCAGTCACACCCTTTTTTATAGTAGTTACTTGTCTAATATGACCAGCCAGCAGTCCCACTCTCAATAAGAGGAACATCAACTGCCAAACACATCCTATTAACACGGTTTCATGCAGCTTTGTTATCTAATGCATTCATGACCAATATAAACTATCAAGAAAATTCCACATTATAGTCTCTGCTGTGCCTTTGATTGTCCAACATGGTTCTTTTGAAACAAAAACTGCCTGTTGAGGTTCCTGACACAGTAGTGTCCAGATCAATCATGTCAATGTGAGAGAAGCCGTGAGCACAAGGTTCTTAAGGAGATCCCAGCCCATGTTGCCTGCGCCCACCACCAGCACCTGGCCCCCATCCACTGCCTCGGCCAGCTCCTTGGGAAAGCCCCTGAGACAGTGTCAGTGCAGGACATCCATGAGCCACAGTGGAGGCGGAGGCCTTTATCCATTCATTCTAAGGCATAGTTTTTATAGTGATTGAAATACATATAGTGTATTTATATTTTTCACATGCTGATACATATGTAACATTGACATTCCATTTCCATCTAATAGTAACTTATACATGGAAAAATAATAACTGATCTTGGTTTCCTCTTGCTGTTTGAGAGGGGTGCTAGTAACAAAGCAGCTTTTCTAAATTCCACTATCCACTCATCTTTACTGGCATGTGTGTGTGTGTGTGTGTGTGTGTGTGTGTTTATTTAAATTTATATTTACAGTTAATGGTTCATTCTTTGTTGTTAAAACCTAAGTTTAAGAAGATGTGATCTATTCAATTTCTCCTTTGTGAAATAATGGTTTTAATGTTTGTGTCAGGTGTTTTCTTTCATAGTGTCTTGAGCAAGTAAAGTTTTTGACTGCTTCCCTGTGTGTGTGATGTGCTGTTTGTTGGTCCAAACTTCAAAACACACATACAGTGAGTGACAAGTAGTACCTCTGCCTGGTAGGGCAGTGAAAAGCAGATCAATCAGTTAGGTTAGGGCTTCCTGAAGGAGAGTGACTACTGGTTAACTATTCTGAGTTTACTACTAGAAGTTTCTGTCAGGCATCACAGAGCCTGCTCTGTGATGATGACAGAGTAACTATAGGTTAGTACGGAGAATAACACATACCACATGATTTCATAGGAGAAATGAACGACCAATTTCACATGCTTTCACTTGTCAGTTCAGGGGAGGCTGGGTGCAGTGCAGTGCAGGCTACTTATTTAATACCATGTCATTTGGACTTTTAGGAACTGTATTGGCCCATCAAATCTAGAGTCTAGAGAGTACTCTTGAGTCCCCAGAATATATAGCAAACTACATCACCAGAGATTTATAATCAAACTATAAATCTCTTTCTAATAATAATCACTAGTTTTCTAAAAACAATTGCTCTCTCTACTGTTTTTCTTTAGCTCACTTTAATTGCTGTAATTTGTTTTTCATCCCCACAGGTTTAAGATTCTAGGAATTATCAATTTCATGTAGCTCAAGTTTCCTGGACTATAAAAATTCATTTGCCTTGATTAATCTGATTAAGTGGAATTTTAAACTATGAACCAAAAAAGTCTTGTTAACATCTTCATGAGACATGTATGAGTTAAGAGTCCAAGGTCTACAAACAAGAATAGGGCAGATGGGTGGGAAGGGAAGGGAGGGGGCAGGGGGTTAGCAATGATGGTGGAAAGTGATGGACATCATTATCCAAAGTACATGTATGAAGACATGAACTGGTGTGAACAAACTTTATATACAAACAGAGATATGGAAAATTGTGTTCTATATGTGTAGTAAGAATTGTGACACATTCTGCTGTCATGTATTTAAAAAATAAAAACGACTAAAAAAACCAACAACTCTATTGCTCACTTTCTATTACTCACTTAACCTGCTCCAAATTCAAAGCATTCAAGCATTCTGAAAACAAGTCATGAAACTGTGTTAATTAGGCACATTATATTAAGAACATTCAGTCTTCTCTTGGAGATTTCTTACTTGCTGGTGGTAGGTTTAAATGGGCAGGTTTCATGGGCCAGTTAAGATTATTAACGATAATGTAATGAATAAACACTATGAAATGCTTTTGTACTTTCAAAAAAAAAAAGAAATAAAAAAAGAAAAGGCAGAATGCTTTAAGGTATAAAAATGGCACTAAAAATGCCATTGGCATATAATTGCTTTGATGGTTTATTCAGAAAACATCATGGGTATCATTGTTAAAAAAGCAAGAAATACAAATATTTCAAAGAGAAATGAAAAGATATCCATTCACACTTCCAAATATTAATCATAATTAAATAAGGAAAAATGAAACAATCAATAGGGTAATTTGAATTTAAACATACTTTATTTTCAAAACAAACACCAATCTATTAAACAGATACTACAAATATTTTAAGTTTTAGTCTATGGGAACATCAAAAAAATTAGCAAAAAAAAAAAGATTCTGGAAAAAAAGATTTTAAAACTAGAGCTCAAGGTGGAATCGGTAAAATGAAATTGACCAAATTATGCTGTGCACATATGTGAATATATGATAGTGAATTTCACATTTATGTATATTTTTAAAACATCAATTTAAAAAACTGTACATGAATACAAAGGAGATTTGCCCACGATGCCGTAGAGGGAGACATTGGGCTAATGAATGCCG